ACTACGTTTTCACTACAAACACGTGGGTTAGGGAATTGTACGGTGCGAGTTCAATTGACGGCTGGAAAGCCAATTTACATTTTCTTTAAAACCTGTTTTAGAAAAATAGGAAGGATAGTTACTAATTGAGAATTCCCATGCTCACATTAACAAACAAATGCAGTTTTTCTTGTTAGCATGCCGTATGTTTCGAAGTTGTACACATTGTAAACAATGTCAATACGTGAGCACACCTCAGAGTTAGTTGCGTTTTGTACCGAGGAATATAGTCACGTGAAATTGTCTTTTCACTGTCAGTAGAGCACGGGGAAATTGTAAACAAACGGACCTGTATATTAGAGTGTGGCAACTCTTATTTTTAGCATTGTTCATTTGTATGCAAATGTTAGCATGGGATTTGTAGATGATAATGTACATAATGCATTAAGCGTGTAAATGCTTGGGAAATGTAACACGTCTTTCTGAGAACGATTTAAAAAAAACTAGCCTGTTCGAAAAACACATGAAGTATTTATGTACTGATCATGAGTAGTAACCTATAAATGCATTAAATACAACTCATTGAGCTGATTGGTCGATTTGTCAGTCTTGTTGGTTCCTCGCTGAACAGACGTCACACAAAATAGTTTCCTCGACCTGATGATTCTCGTGATGCTTTTCCCGCGCACATGCGCAGATCCAACGTTAACATAAACGTCAGTCCTTTATAAATATGCATGTGAATATTGTGTTCTTTTCCTGACCAGTACTTCGTTAATACCGAATAATATTTCGTCGAATTTGAGAGAATGCTTCATTTTTGATAGCTTATCATACTTCAGAAATTTTTGTTTGGTTTCAGCTGAGCAAAAATACGGCATACATATCTTTAAGTTTTTTTTTTTGTTTGCGGGAGGGGGGTTGGGGGTGGGTATGGTTTATGGGGATTTGATTCGTAAATGAAGAATTGTTGAATTATTAGGTATGTAACAATTTACATTTCATAATGGACATGAATTCGTGAGTCTCTTAATACCTCAAAAACAACAAAAATTTTAAAAACCCGTAGAAAATTTTGATATTCACCTGAGCCGAAGGCTCAGGTGTGCTTTTCTGACCACATTTTGTCCGACCTCCGTTTGTCCGCCTGTCTAGCTTTCGACTTCTTCCCAGGAACCACTGAACCAATTTTTGCCAAACTTACCACAAAGTATATCCTTTGGTTAAAGGAATTCAAGTTCGTTAAATAAAGGGCCACACAATTCCAACGGGAGATAATTAAGAACAAGCAAATTCAAAGAATTGTGGTCCCCCGCTTTCGGTGTCTTTGTGGGCGAAATATTATTTTTTAGGTTCAAGGTCAAAAGGTCAAATTTATTGGTATCACATGTAAAGTCTTGCCACAAAGAATATAAATATTTAAAATATGATAGTCCTAGTTTGTACCGTTCAAAAGTTGTGACCAAGGTTAAAGTTTTTAAAAAGTAGTTTAAACTCCAAGGTCAAGGTCAAAGGGTCAAAATTCTTGGTATGCAATGAAAGGCCTTCTCACAGGGATTACATATGTGAAGTACGAGAGCCCTAGCTCTTACCGTTTAAAAGTTATGGTCAAGGTCAAAGTTTTTCAGAAGTACGTAAATCTCTAAGGTCAAGGTTAAAAGGTCAAAGTTGTTGGTATTCAATGAAAGGTCTTGCCATAAAGAATACATAAGTGAAATATAAAAGTCTTTGAATCTACTGTTCAAAAGTTGTGACCAATGTTATAATTCTTAAAAAGTAGTTAAAACTCCAAGGTCAAGGTCAAAAGGACAAAGTTCTTGGTATCCAAATGAAAGGACTTTTTACAAGAATAACTTATGTGAAGTATAAAAGCCATAGCCCTTACCGTTCAAAAATTATGGTCAAGGTTATAGTTTTTTCATAAGTACGTAAGATTTCCAAGGTCAAGGTCAAAAGGTCAATGTTGTTGGTATCCAATGAAAGGTCTTGTCCCAAAAAATAAATATTTGAAATATGAAAGTCCTAGTACCTACCATTCAAAAGTTATGGCCAAAGTAAATGTTTGGAAATTTTGAGTAAAAGTTGGTCAAACTCCAAGGTCAAGGTCAAATTTGGTGGTACCCAAGGAAAGGTCTTATCACAAGGAATACACATATGAAATATGAAAATCATAGCTCCAGTAAATCAAAAGTTATGGGCAAGGTTAAAGTTTTTGTGACGGACAGACAGACGGACAGACGGACAGACGAATGAGATTTAATGTCCCCTCGCTTTCGCGAAAGCGGGAGACAATTAGTGAAACAATAATGGCATCTTTTAAAATTTTCTCAGGGAACATTGGGTCAGGAAAGATGAGACTTACGAGGGTCATTCAAAAAGGTCGTAGACTTTTGTCATAACTTTTTTTATTTAGCGTCATATTTTAAACTAAAATTGGTACATATATTTTAACAACAGTTTCAAATATTTTGACCAAAGAGATTGGAATATATCTTGATGTTTGTCAAAATTATCAAAGATTTAGGACAGCAAAAATGGGGTCACGGAACAGGGTCAATATTGAGTTATTGACTGAATATTCTCTTTTTATATCTATAGCCACACCTCTTTAAAATTGTCTTGAAATGAAATAAAATTTACATACTTAAATTTACTATTGTTTCATTTCTTCAAAAGCAAAAAAGTTAATGTAATGCATTGCTTTATTTAAAAGATATCCATTACTATAGACAGATAGTCTTGATTTAAAAGAGCAAAAAATCATGACGTTGCAGGACGTTACGGAGCAGCGAGTATCAATATAATTTTGTTTTGCATTTGGAAACTTTTAGAAAAAAATCCGAAAACGCTGGAGAGACCAGGAAAATACATAAAATGAGCCGTGTATTTGTTTATAATGGAACAGTCAATTTTTGATCGGGGGTAAAGACTTTAAATTGGGCGATGGGTGTTCTGCAAAAAACAGATTATAGTTCAAAATCTTTTCAAAGAGTTAGTCACGTCATGAAACGTGATGTGCACTTCAATGTTGCGGAACCTGTAAGAGCAGAGTAACATGGTAAAGGATTTGAAAACATTGACAATCTTATTTAAATTATACTCAAATTATTGATAGCATACTAGGTCTCAAGTGTTGTGGAAACGTTTTAATGAATGAGGAATACGATACAAACCATGTATTAAATGAAAAGGCACTGTGAGTTTGAGAAATGTTCTTTAACATTGTTTTTGGCCGTGTTCCGTGGCGACAAATCACGATGCATTTAAAATTATTTAGTATGAGTTCCGTTTAAACAAATAGAATGAAACTTCAGAAATCTATATAATATATCTTTTTACATTTTAAAATGTACTAGTATTAAGATTTGTAAAAATAATGTGATGATAAGGAACATTGTCTACGTATTTTTTGAATGACCCTCGTATTAGGAAACATCTTCGGGTAGCGTAGACACAAATTTGTTTAAATCATGACCCCCGGGAGTGGGGCGGAGCCACAATTAAAAAAATAACAGTTTAACATAGGAATATATAGGAAAAATCTTTTTAAAATATTTTTAAGATTTCCCAATTTCCAAAGGCAAACGGCAGGAGTGACCGGCAGCGGGAGGTGATCACTCCTTTATGGCACCTGATCCCACCTCTGATGTTCCGGAGGTCCGTGTTTGCTCTGCTCCTATTTTGTATATTGTTTATGCACTTTGATTTAAATGCTATTCGTTATCTCTATATCCTTCTCAAGAACCACTGGGCTAGGAAAGATGAAACCTATGTGAAAACATTCTCAGGTAAAGTAGATTTAAGTTTGATCGGGAAAAAACTTTTCAAAATCTTATTCTCAAGAACCACTGGGCCAGGGAAGATAAAACTTATATGGAAACATCATCAGGAAGTGTAGATTTAAGTTTGATCAAATCATAACCCCCGGGGGATGACGGGGACGATCGAAATTTTGTATTGGAATATAAAAGAAAAATCTTTTCAAAAACCATTGGGCCAGGAAAGATGAAACTAATATGAAAACATCAGGTTTTTTTCCGATCAATACCCTCGGGGGTAGGGCGGGACCACAATTGACGATCAGAGCTTTACATGGGGATATATAGAAAATATTCTTAAGCATCTTTTTCTCGGGAAAAGCAAAGCCATAATTGTTCATATTTATATAAACGTATCAGCTAGTGTAGATTCAAGGTTGTTTTAATCATGTCCCTGGGAAAGGGTTAGAAAACAATGGAAGGTCAAAGTTTTACATTGGTGTATCTAGGGAAAATCTTTAAATATCTTTTGATGAGGAACATATAAGGTATGATTGGTCAACTTTATATAAAAACATCTTCAGGTAGTATAGATTCATGTAAGGTGGGGCTAAATTTAAAGTTTTACATATACAGTGGACCTTCAGATATCCGGACGCCAGATATCCGGATGCTTCAGTATCCGGACGATATTTCATAGGAACAGAATTTTTAAATGTTATATTGTCTTGTTTAAATGGTAATTCATATATCCGGACACTTCACATATCCGGACAAATTTATTGGGAACCAAAGCGTCCGGATAAATGAGGCTCCACTGTATATAGGAATATATAGGAAAGATATGATCATGCTAAAAAAAAGTGAAGTCATGATTGGTTATGTTTTTATGGTGGCAACCTCAGGTTAAGTGTAGATTTGTTAAAATTATGGCTCCAGGGGGGGGGGGGACGACAGTTATAGTAAAACAAAATATGTATCATCCTTAGTTTCTTTAAATACAAGTTAGGATAGATTATATTTTTAAAAACCTTACCACCTTTAAGGGTCAGGACAACATATGCATTTACTCATTTACTCATTTCTCATGGACCTCTTGTATGTTTTTATCAAGGGCTTCTTGTATGCTTTTATGTTCATGTATACGATATGTGTACTTCCTTTCGGTATAGACTTTAAAATACTAATCACCAGCAGCAAGAAATACTTTTGTTTTAAAAGATTTAAACCCTTATGTTTTGAAGGGTCTACCCTCCTGGCAAAATGGAAGATTCAACAATCAAAATAAACCTAGCAAGACAATTCTATACAGATCATTGGTCTCCTGAAAGACAACAAGTTATTGCTGATCTAATGAGTATCGAGGAGACAATCCAGAGGCATGTCAAATCGTATTCTATCGGTTCCATAGGATATTCCAGCATTGGCATACTTGGGGGAGGACTGACAATAGCTTCTGTAGCTGCGGCTCCATCTACACTAGGTCTTTCTCTTTTGTTAAACGTGGCTGGCATTGCAACTGGAGTATCTTCTGGTGTTGCAGGGCTTGCTCATGGTTTTATAAAGAATAGAACCATTGAACAAAAATGCAAAGATGCAAAATCCTTGCTTAACAGGCACAAAGAAACATCTTTAAACATGAGAGATATGCTTGCAGAGATAATCACTTTTGAAGCTGAAACAGAAGATGGAAAAACACTAAATTTGTCCCTTGCAAAAGACGATATTCTGCAAATTGCAAACGCAGCACTAGTTGCACAAAGGATAAAAATTGTGATAAAAAACTCCCATGAAATGTATAGAGTAATTAGAAGCCCATCAGATGGAGTTGCTAGATTCTTGGGGCTTGGTTCGTTTCTCGATGATCTAATCCCGACTGCACTAAAAGATATAAGCAAGGGTGTTGCTAAAATACCGGGGAAAATTGTCGGCGCAGTAGCTTTTTTCGGGATTGCAGTTGACGCTGCTTCTTTATTTTCAAATGCCATTGATTTATCTAAAATGACAAAAGGAGAACTTTGTGATGAAGCAAAAAAAATTGACGAAACCATCAAGGCATTACAATCAGAATATGACATTCTAAGAGAAATATTCGAATCACCTTTTTAATCTTTATCAAATACTGTATGCCAAACTTTGATCATCTGATTTCTACTGCTGCAGTTACTCTGAAATGTATAATATTTTCTTTAATCCTCAAAATTCATCGATAATGTTAGTTCTTTAATAAAATAATGTTTATTAACAGTTCAAGGTTCATTAAAATATTATAAATTTTCAGATTTGATGATAACATAGAGTGAAAGTTGTAATTTCGAAAGATGAAAGATATTTTCGACTTTATTTTTTCTATCTTAAATTCAAATTTTGTTGATTGTTTTTATTTATAATTTCAACCATAAATTCAATTTTTGCACAATGTAGGTATAAATTAAAATGGATAACTATCTGTCTGTTTTCAAAAATTGAAGTTTGATGTTAATGATAGTTAAAATTATAATAATAAATTCTTTTATTTCGACAGGATAGCACAATTAGTACATATGACTAGTTTACATTGTGGTCCTCTATAAAACATATCTACAGACAAATTTAAAAAAAAAGCAGAAACCAGATTAACAAAAAATATATACTGTGGTTTCATCAATGTTCGTTGAGCATCAATTTTCGAGGATTTCATTGTTAAAACAAGAATAAGTTACCATGGACCTCCTTGGAAAACGCGGACCCCCCTGGTTAACGCCAATATGTTCGAAATTAGTATGAAAAGTGATAGATATTTGAGGAAAAGAAGTCTCCAGTACCCTCCCCCACGAAATCGGTTTTTAACGTTTGGGCGAGGTTTTTTTTTTTTGTTTTTTGAGGAGATTAAATTTTTTTTTGGACTGGGGTGGACCCCGCCAGGAAACATTTCTGGATCCGCGCCTGTATAGGCAATGTTTTTGTCCACGAAAGTATGTATCCTCGAAACATCATCTTTTTTACAAAATCAACGAATATTGATGCCAATGAAAATTGATGAAACCACAGTACATAGCATTTGAAACCAGATATATTTGTACATATTAGTAAATAATCTACTAGTATTAAATATTGTAATTTGTAATATTGTAAATATTGTAAATTATAATTTTACAAATAGGTTCATTCTAAAGAATAGGGGTGTGCAATATTACCGGTATATCGGTATATTGCGGTATTATCCACCACGATAATATATCGCGATATGAAAATCAGATACCGGTATTTCACGATATTTATAAAAATATATAAAAACCTCCTTTATTGTGGAAACTGTTAAAATAAAACTGGAAACTTCTAAGTCTTTTTCTTTCTCGTTGAAAGAATTCTTCGTCAGTTTCGTTCGGGAGAGAGAAAGAGAGAGGGGGGGTGGAAGCTTTTAATTCACTGTTGCAGTTTTGAATATCTTACTTTGAAATAAAATTACTAATTAATAAGACTTTAAAATAAACTTTATAAGGAAGAAAATATATGAAACATTTTTACAGGGTGTATACCATATGCATTGCGGTTCTCAAAATCTCCCATTGAATCTACACGATCGACATCGCGGCGAAATGTCAAGTTCAATATACATGTACATATTACAAGTAAATGGTCATCCATGTTTTCACTTGTAGCAGTGTTGTTTTAATTATTTTTAATAACTTTCATATCATTTTAAACACCTTATGCTACAGCAGGAGCATGTATATATTAAAACAGGCCATTTCCTGATTGTACGTCTTGATGTGAAATTAGGTCGGGTTAGACTAAATAACCAAAACGCACGAAAACAGGTCACAATTTCTTTCTGATTTTTTTAATTTTATTTTGTAACCACAATAAAATTATTTTAATATAGGCCTAATATGTATATTGTTTTAATCTTTAATAACATTTTATGCTACTTCATTACCCCCCCCCCCCTAAAAAAAAGAATTCCATGAAATTAGATTATATAATCTGTAAAAAAAATTTTATTTCAATGTGAAAATTCTCCAAGAGAGTTAATCTTGTTTTACTATTTTACCTGGAATTTGATTAAAAGTAAAGTGTTAATTTGGTGTGCAATCAATGTCTTATCCCTCCTCCCGCTTTTAAACTTAAAGGTACAGTAAATTCAAATACTCTTTGAACTTGACAGAATTTCAAACATTCTGCTCAAATTTATTAATAATAATTAATCTACAATATATTGCAATATATTGCAATATTCAAAGTAAAATATTGCAATATATCGCAATATGGATTTCCTTCGCAATACCCAACTCTACTAAAGAAGCTAAAGAACTACAGTTTCTAATAGTATCAGGCAACTGGTTCCATAAACTTGCAATTGAGACATTAAAAGATCGTTTATAATACTCCGTTCGTGTTTTTGGAAAGTATAAAAGGCCACTAACAGTACTCCTTGTAACCTGCCTAACATATCTAAAAACACTCAGATATTCTGATGGCATACTTTTCAAAACCTTAAAAGCAAGGACAAATATATATATATATATATATATATATATATATATAGAAAGCACAAAGAAATTCACTTTTACATGGATACCCACTTCCGCCCCAGCCCGGGGTTGAACTCTCGACCTTCGGAATCTGTCTCCTAGCAGTGCAGGAACAGCGCGCTAGACCGCTCGGCTATCTAGGCAAGTCAAAAAACTTGCTTTCGATGCCGATGGAATTCTCGCGGCGCTGCCCTACACTACACGGTCATTGAGAATAGAAGTGAGATACAGTTATTTGGACATTAGTTTTAACAGAGGATTGTTACCAATACATGTTGTAATGAAATAAATTATTATTTATAAAGCACATTTTACAACAACTCTTAAACTAACATAACTGCCCTAAGTGAAGAAATATTAATATAGAAAGCACAAAGAAATTCACTTTTACATGGATACCCACTTCCGCCCCAGCCCGGGGTTGAACTCTCGACCTTCGGAATCTGTCTCCTAGCAGTGCAGGAACAGCGCGCTAGACCGCTCGGCTATCTAGGCAAGTCAAAAACTTGCTTTCGATGCCGATGGAATTCTCGCGGCGCTGCCCTACACTACACGGTCATTGAGAATAGAAGTGAGATACAGTTATTTGGACATTAGTTTTAACAGAGGATTGTTACCAATACATGTTGTAATGAAATAAATTATTATTTATAAAGCACATTTTACAACAACTCTTAAACTAACATAACTGCCCTAAGTGAAGAAATATTAATATAGAAAGCACAAAGAAATTCACTTTTACATGGATACCCACTTCCGCCCCAGCCCGGGGTTGAACTCTCGACCTTCGGAATCTGTCTCCTAGCAGTGCAGGAACAGCGCGCTAGACCGCTCGGCTATCTAGGCAAGTCAAAAAACTTGCTTTCGATGCCGATGGAATTCTCGCGGCGCTGCCCTACACTACACGGTCATTGAGAATAGAAGTGAGATACAGTTATTTGGACATTAGTTTAAACAGAGGATTGTTACCAATACATGTTGTAATGGAAGTGGGTATCCATGTAAAAGTGAATTTCTTTGTGCTTTCTATATTAATATTTCTTCACTTAGGGCAGTTATGTTAGTTTAAGAGTTGTTGTAAAATGTGCTTTATAAATAATAATTTATTTCATTACAACATGTATTGGTAACAATCCTCTGTTAAAACTAATGTCCAAATAACTGTATCTCACTTCTATTCTCAATGACCGTGTAGTGTAGGGCAGCGCCGCGAGAATTCCATCGGCATCGAAAGCAAGTTTTTTGACTTGCCTAGATAGCCGAGCGGTCTAGCGCGCTGTTCCTGCACTGCTAGGAGACAGATTCCGAAGGTCGAGAGTTCAACCCCGGGCTGGGGCGGAAGTGGGTATCCATGTAAAAGTGAATTTCTTTGTGCTTTCTATATTAATATTTGTTCACTTAGGGCAGTTATGTTAGTTTAAGAGTTGTTGTAAAATGTGCTTATATATATATATATATATATATATATATATATATAAATCAAAATTAAATCCAAGATAAACAAACAAGTTTACGTTTAATTTTTTACACTAAGCGCTTTCGCCGTTACGGCTCTTCAGAGTGTAACACTCTGAAGAGCCGTAACGGCGAAAGCGCTTAGTGTAAAAAATCAAAGTACTGAAAGTACTGTTAGACGGAGGCTTCATGTATGAGAGAACACAAAAGAAATATATATATCATACATAGCTGTAAAGAATATTTTGAGAAATAATGTGTAGTTTTTTTTTCAATTCAACATTTTTTTCAAAGGATACTCCAATATTCATGAGGTTTTTGGGATATTATAATTTCATCTTTGTAATGTAAACTTCGCCATGATTAAAGTTCACTGTTATTTAGATGAGATACTTTCAATATTAAACCTTTCAACGTAAGAAACAGTAATTGACTTGGCCTGGTTGACATAAAACTTAGACGGGCTAACTTTTTATCCCAGTCTCACTTAAGGAATATATAGTGGAAAAGTGAGACTGAGATCAAAAGTGAGCTTGTCTAATATAAGTTGTATGCCCCCAGGCCCGGTTTGATGAATGTAGGTCTAGTATGTTCTAGTCATGAGCCCACTGGCGGAATTAAAAGGGGCCCCTGCCCCCTCCCTTTTGAGTGCAAAAAATACGCAATATTTGATAAATGAGTGTTTTAATTGTGGCTGTGGGCCCCTTCCCTGACCTCAAACTGGTCCCCCTTTTTCAGAATTTCTTGATTCAGCACTAGGCCTCAGCCAGTCAGGAGTTTCCATATTTCAAGATATCTTATTTATAGGTCACAGAGACCTACTGTTAACATAATTATGACATGTAACAGCTACCAAAATCAAAATTTCTCGGCCTTATTGTAATAATGTTATGATATGAGCTAACATGGAAAAAGAAGCAGCCAGGTAATTGGACATGAACAACATAATATAGTACAGTTTGTCTTAAACCTTTGTGATACAAAATGGAGTGACCTAGCTTGATGCAACACAGAATTTTCTTTAAGTAATATAAAGTCATTAACATGCAATAAATGTTCGTGCCAGAACACAATTTTTTGAGTGGAATAAAATATACTTTCTTACTTAAAGTAAACAGAACAATAAAGTTCATAATACTT